CTCCACTTGCACCTAAATCTAGCATAATCATTCCTTTCCTCCTTGCCCTCGCCTTCATCTCTTCCCATCTCCAGCTCATCTATAAAACAGACTTGAATTGTTGCTAGCTGTACTGTGCTAAAATAGTATTTCCCCCTTTATTCAATACTCTCCGCTGATAGTGTAGCTTCAAAATCAGCAATGTCCACAGAAAGGTATGTCTGAAAATCTGCAAGATAGCTGGTGGCTACTATTGGTCTACCAAAATAATCACAAGGACAGGCTTAATACTGCTTCAAGCTCTGGCTGAATAGTGTATTCTTCTAGACAGACTTCTGATGTTCCAGAAATCTGTTGGAGTCACTCTCTCAGATTAGGTGTCATGGCTCCATGTGCTCCTACCATCATAACCAATTCGATCTTTACTTTCCACATCCTCTCTAGTTCCTCCTTCTCCAGCTTCTTACATTCTTGCTTCCTGATGTTGCTGTAACTTGGCACTGCTATATCTATCACCACACTGTTTTCTGGTCCTTGGCTGTTACCACTTTACAAGGTTGATTGGCCATCTTCCCTCTGGACTTGGGAGGTCTACTCCATACAATTCAGGTGTTGGCTGCAACTTCAGTTGTTCTTTCAGGTCTTTTCGAGTCCAAAATGTAATGTTTAGTTGGTCTACTTAAAACTGAGTAGCTGCTTTTCCAATACCATATGTTGAGATTTTGGGTAACTAGCTATTTGTCAGTGAGTGTGGGTGTAGGTCTCCTGGCCATCCATAGGTCCTCATATATCTCCTCTCATTAAGTCCACTGTTATAGTAGCATTCCATCAATTCTATGTTCGTTTGTTGTATCCATGTGTGGTTTGTTCCAGTAACTCGTTTATCATCAGATTGTCTTAGATTAAGGTGACCAGACGTCCTGCTTTTGGCGGGACAGTCCCGCTTTTGAGCAATTTGTCCCGCGTCCCGCGGTGTTTCAAAAAAGTCCCGATTTTTCTTGAGCCCCAGCTGATGGCTAGAAGAAAAAAAAACTGTTTAAACTCTTGCCCGGGGCTTCAAAGGGCTGCCCTACAGGCAATCAGTGTAAAGCAGTTTTTTTTCCCCCTAGCTAAGCTTCAGAAACGAAACCGAAACCAGGGTCTTTGGTGCAGCGTGACAAAATGAGGCAGAGAGAGATTTATTTTTATTTTTATTTTTCCTCCCCAAAAAAGGTAGGTGAAAAACTGCAAACAATGGGAAATTTAGGAGGAGAGTTCAAGATTTTAAAACACAAAGGAAAAAAAGCTGTATTTAACTAGGGAATTGTAATAATTGAGATACTATTAATTGTATATTGTGTTGAAAGCAGAAATGGTTAAGTTGTGGTTCGGAGGAATATATGAGAGAAATTATTTGGTTTATTATTATTGGTAAATATAATTAATTGATTTGTAAGAAATTGGATTGCATGGAAATAATTGGAATATTCATGTTCATATTGATTAATATACAAAAAAGATAGTTTTATAACTAATTGATTTATATTAAAATGTTGAATTTGTATTAAACAACTGTATTACATAATTACATAATTAAACAATGTGAGGATGGATATAAAAATAGATGACAATGGGAAGGGGTATAATATAGAATAGAAGGGAAAAATTGAATTTGATTAAGATTAGAGATGAGGATGAAGGGTAATATTGGTTTTTTTAAAAAATAGATGAGGAATAAATATGGCAAAAAGGAAATATAGAAATTGTAAATTTAATTGAAATGACTAAACGCTGTTTAAATTTGTGAACCAGCCAAATATTCTGTTCAAAGAAAATACATTGTATGTTTGTATGTGTGTTTCTAATTATTGCTATTTATTCATATTTGTTCTCTTTTATTCTTTAAAGTTTAACAATTCATTCTTTATCTTAATATCTTTATATTTGCTTGGGGTTGGCTTTCTTCCCTTTCATCTTTTTTATTGTACAGCAATCTTTCTCCTCAAACCTACCACCTCTCTCTTTTCTTTCCTTCTTACTTTCTCTTCCCCCCACCCTCTTTTTCTCCTCCCTACTTCCTCTTTCTTTCTCCTTCTCCTCCTCTCTTCCTCCCTCTCTTACCCTCACTCCTACTCTAATTTCCATTCCTTCATCCCTCTCTATTCCTGTAATCCTTTAATGCATATGGACTACTCAGAGGGCTGAAAAAGTTATTTTTGACTGGTCCTCACACTTTTGACCAGTCCTCGAACTTAGGACTGTCCTCACATTTTACATTTTTGCCCTATCTTGTCATCATGGTGAAGAGAAGCAGTTGTGAAATGAGTGACATGGTTGTTAAGAATGCTGCATGGGCATAAATGTGAGGATGGTCATAAGTGTGAGGACCAGTCAAAAGTGCGAGGACCTGTCAGAAATGACTTTTTTCAGCCCTCTGGTTAGTCCTTTTGTGCATATGGACTACTCAGAGGGCTGAAAAAGTTATTTTTGACTGGTCCTCACACTTTTGATCAGTCCTCGAACTTACGACTGTCCTCACATTTTACATTTTTGCCCTATCTTGTCACCTTGTTGAAGAGAAGCAGTTGTGAAATGAGTGACATGGTTGTTAAGAATGCTGCACGGGCATAAATGTGAGGATGGTCATAAGTGTGAGGACCAGTCAAAAGGTGAGGACCTGTCAGAAATGACTTTTCAGCCCTCTGAGTAGTCCCTATACACATAGCCATGGCCACCCGGTCACATGACCAGGTAGCCACGCCCACCCAGTCACATGGCCTCCAAGCCACGCCCACACAATAAGCCACGCCCGCAATGGTGTCCTTACCAATGTTAAAATCTGTTCACCTTACCCTATAGACATAGCCATGGCCACCCGGTCACATGACCAGCTAGCCATGCCCACCCAGTCACATGACCAGCTAGCCACGCCCACAAAATAAGCCACGCCCACAATGTCCCTCTTTACCAATGTTAAAATCTGGTCACCTTATCTTAGATCCCCAAAATCTGATGCAGCTCTTATTAATCCAGGTGATGGCATGACTCTCTAGTTCATGTGATTCTTGTATCTCAAGTAGACACTTTTAAGCATTAGGGGGTCTTTGCCTAAGGATCACTAATATAAGATGGATACTAGCCAGGATTTGAACCCTGGTTTCTCTCAACAAAGGCTGGTGCTCTAATCAGTATGCTTATCTGGTCACATACACATCCAAAAGTCACTGCTACCAACAGATTAGAATCCTGTAGGATGTCAAGCCATGGAAAGTGGTCAGAAAAATGGAAATCCAAAAACATCTCATTGTCGTCCTGAGAATCTTATATACAGATCAGGAAGTCACAATATGTACAGAAGATGGTGAAATAGGCGGGCTCCAGGTTGGCAAAGGAGCGAGACAAGGCTTTATCCAAAGGCAATGTAGCACAGGAGTTAACATGTTGGATTACAAGCTGGGAAAGCCAGCTTCCAACAATGAACTGTGAATGTTACTGAGTTTGTATCAATCACAGTATCTCACTTTAAGTTACTTTACAGATGAAGAATCGGCATCTACTAGATGCCACTCAAACAAACAATCCGACCTCAAACAGATTAAGTTAATGAAGGAAAATGGAGACATCTCCCCCTTACAACACGTCTGTCCATTAAGAGCCTTACATGAAACTTCCGGGAAGAAGGAAGTTACCCTTTAACAATAACAGCAAATTCAGTGGAACTTACTTTCAAGTTAATAGGTTTATTCAGTTGCACATTTATTCTGATCTTGGTTATTGGGGGAAAAAAACCCCATTAATTACAGTTCAGAACTGAAGGAAAATTAGTTCTCCCGGAGACAACAGCCCCCACCCCCAACCTTCCGAGCGGTGAAACTGGAAAGCGGGGTACCTCCGCGAAAAAACCGCGCTTCGCCCAGGCCCTTCGGCGTGGAAGTTCGGCGCTCTCCGGAGCTCTGCCCCTTTAAGAAGCGTCTCCACTCGCTAAATTGCATCAGGCACGCGCGCGGCCTCCGTGCTCGAGCCGGTGGCCTTCCCCCCCTTCCCCCCGCCAACCTCTCTTTGCGAGGCGCGCTCGCTGCCGAGGCGAGCGTGCACGCTCTCTCGGCTTTTCTAAGGCGGAGCTGGCTGAGGGGCGCGCGCTCTCGCTGGCCAGTCGCGTGGTCTCCTTGCTTCTCCATATTGCTGCGGCGGCATCAAGAGGAGACGGGGGAGGGGGGACGTCGGGGTTGGGTTTCCAGGGTGGGGGGAGGAAGCCGGCGGCTCGACCCCCCCTCGCTTTTGGTGCAGACTTTACCTGAGCAGAGAATTAGCGGAGGAAAAAAAGGGGGGAGCAGGGCTGGGCTCGGTGAGGCGGTTCTGGAAAGGGGGAGTCGGCAAAGTTTGGGGCGGGCGCGTGTTGTCCGGGAGAGCCTGGAGGCGGGCGAACGAGGAGGCTCTGCGGGGGTGCAGATGGCTACCCAGGTGGAAGCTCTACTGCCCGCCAACCCGCTCCTGCCTGCCGAGGAACACGGGCTGGTTATCAAGAAGCCTCAAGAGAAGGGCGAGCACCTCATGCACCAAGGAGAGAAGGCCAACGCCGATGAGGGCAAGGGGGGCGGCCCCGACAGCTGCAGCAAGGAAGAAGGCGGCGGCGGCGGCAACAACGTGGGAGACCATCTGCGCCGAAACGGGGCCCTGCTGAAGCCCCCCAGCATCAAACAGCAGAAGGAAGACAGCAACCACCAGGAGAAGGAGAACCTGCTGCACCAAAGGAGCGGCGGCATAATAGAGTCAAACCGGCTGCCCGGAGAAGCCAGCAGCAGCAGTAGCGGCGGCGAGGAAGGCGGCGAGCAGGGAGGAGTTGGCCGCAAGGAATTCATCGAGGCCCCTCCACCCAAGGTGAACCCTTGGACTAAAAACGCCCCGGCGGCGTTAGTCACTCTCAACGGACAGTCCCCTCCAGGTGGGTAGGTAGGATGAGTCCTTTGGTGCGGCCGAGGTTGGCGGGGCGGGCGTGTGTGTGTGTGTGTGTCTGTGTGTAGGGTGGGTGGGTGGTTGTGGGGGTGATGGGCTTATTCTGATACGGCAAGCGGGAGCCAGTCATTCGAGGTGGGGAGTCCTCCCTCTGCAATATGGTGACATGCTCTTCCCCCCCTTAATAGAACTCCACCCTGTCTTTGTCCATGTACGCCCACCCGGTGCTACTTCACCCGGCACCTCGGTGAGCCTCTTGGCAAAAAAAACTGATTCGTGGGGGGGCGGCTAATGGGGGTCGGTGAAAGCGTCCTACGGGGCATTCAAAACCAAGCATGAAATATATCCGTAGACCTCGGTGGTTGCAAAACGCGCCCCGTGAACTGTTCCCCGCCCCCAGCAAATCCCTTCCGCGTGCTTGGTGGGAATTTGCTTTTTCCTTGTAAAGTTACGGACGGGGTTGGGTGTATTGGGATTCGTCTACTACATTCACTTCCTTTCCGTTCCCTGGCGAACTCCCGGTATTGCGATATATCGGGATTTGTTAAACGTTTAACGAACTGGAGGCGGGAGACCCCCGCGCCGCTTCCTTTTCCTAAAATAGGCCTAGTTGAATAGCGCGGTGCTGGGTGAAGTCTAAGAATATCTGGCGATGAATGTGTAACGCCGTCTAAAGTAGACGTGCCCGAGGTCTTTGGCGTGAATGGGGGAGAAGAGGAAATATAAGCGGTGGTAACTGGAGCCATCCTTTATCCTGGGCACCCGAGGACTTTTAAAATGCATGCTGATTTTTTTTGGTGGGGGGGGCGCTTCTTAAAAACCCGTCGGCGTTTTGATTTGCTTGAATTGGGGGTGGGGTGTGTGTGGTGGGGAGAAGCGACGAGCTACCGAGAGCTGAAAGCCTCCCCCCCCTCCCTTGAAGCGGGGGAGGAGGGCATCCGAAGCGCGTGTAGCCGAGGAAGGCAGACCGTGTGCTGATTTAAGGGAGGCCGAGGCGGCGGTGGGTCATGCGGCTCAACCGGGGCGGGGCACTGGGAAAAGTGCTGCATTTGGAAGGTTCCATGGCGTTGTTGCGGCGTTTGTAGGCCCCAGCGCAAACGTGCCTCTGGCGACGGTTTGAGCGCTCCGTCGCCCAAACGCCTCGCCGCCCAATGGCTAGGCGTGTGTGTGTGTGTCGCCCATTCGGCGTTTCCTCCCTTTCCCAGCATTCCACTGCAGTAAAGGCAACGTGGTTTTTCTTTGGGTTGCGAGCATGTGATTTTCCTGAACTCGCGCTGGGTTTTTTGGACTCCCCCTTTCCGGCCGTGTCGTATAGCCCGTCTGTTTTTTAGCTTTGAGCTCTTGGGGGAAAGCTGCTTTAAAAGCCCCTTCGGATAGCTATCGCGACTTGTAGCGATAACGAAGCCTACGCCTAGGACGGAAGGCAGAAAAATAGGCCTCTCTGCACCTGTAAGGTTCCTGTGTAATGTATTGCCATTTATTTATGAAAAGGGCGCTTCCCCTCACGCCTAACGTGGTGCACACCGATGGTGCAAGAAGGTCCCCAAAGTATGTGGGGCAAAGGTCTTTCAAATGTCCACGTGTGCTTATTCCTTTCTACTGTAGTTTATTGAGTGCAGATGGGCTTTTCTGTTGTACGGTAGTAGTAGGCATTTAGGCCTTCAGTTTCATCGCTGAAATCTGATCTAACGTTTATCCTGGGAGGAGACTGAAAAAAGAGAATCGTTCATTTCCTTAACTAAATTGACTTTGGGGAATGACAACTTTGTCTCCCTCGTGTGATGTAAATATATAGCATTTAATAAAATTAAAAACTACTGCTTTGTTGGACAAAACTGTAAAGCTATGTGGTACATTTTCTTTGCAAACATATGGTTTCAAGTGAGATAAAAGATTTAATATAACTATAGGTTGGTACTTATGAATTTGAAATCTGATCTTTTTGGCTTTTTCATTTGAAATCTGATCTTTTTGGCTTTTTCAGTAGACGGTCTATTTAGCAGACAAATTGTCAAGCCCCCCTAGTTTAAATAGCTTATGAATATTGATTATTGTTGATTGATGAATGTATGCATATGTAGTCTAATATGAATTATTCAGTTTCCTTGATGCATAGGTTGCACACCATCTGGTTTCTCCCTCCAAAATTAGGGAAAATACATTTACATTTTATAACATAACAGCACAGTGTTAAAATGGCTTTAAAATTACAGGAATCTGTGTACTTAAGTGTTCATCTGATACAGTAAAAGTGGAAGAAATGTGGTAGTACTGAGGCAGTTTAATCTGTTCAGCAGAATAAGAAAGACCCAGGTTCAGGTGGACCATAAGCCATAAAAACTAGATAATTCACTTTTAGTTCCACCTACCTCATAGGGTTGCTGTTTGGGGAAATAAAATTGAGCTCTCCACAATAAGTTTTTGTAGCTTTTGGAGGAAAGGCAGAATATCAAGCAAATAGACTGCTCTGTAACCTGTTTACATGAACACAGAGAGAGGAGATAACTTGGTGTGTTGAGCAACTTATGTTGGCTTTAATTGGAAATGATTGGTTTTAGTTTTATCTCTCCTTTATTTTTTTATTAACTCATCCTAAATGATCCTGTCTGTTTTCCCCACAACAACCCTGTAAGATGAGTTGGCCTAAAGAGAGTAATGGCCCAAAGTCATTCGCGCCTAAGAGAGGACTAGAACTCATGGTCTCCTGATTTTTAACTCCGCATCTGTTCCTACAACAAATATTTAAGTTCTTTGTGGGCATTTTTGTTGAAAAGTACATGTTGCTGATTATGAGAGCACATAGTTAAAACAAAGTGCAGTACTATTGATAAACACTTTTTCTCTTTAATAAGAAATATGTTTCCTTTCTTTTTCTCTATGCCAGGTTCTTTGGAATTCTATAAGCAAAATCTGAAGAAATTTTGTTTCAAGATATTTTTTAGATTTGATTAGGCTTCAAACTTTTAAACTCATAAAGTGTGCTTCATAATGGAAACCTGTTCTGTCATCAATGCCACTGCCAGTTTATGTACCCTTGGATAGTTACGGCAACACACTTTCCTTATTCCTTTCCTTCTTGTCTGCTACAGAGTACTCCCACTACAGCTAATTTAACAATAGAGAAGAAACATGGGTGTGCTCATACATTCCCAGATTGGATTAAGCAATTGCAGATTACCAACATGGATTAAGTGAATTGAATTGATACAGCTAACCAGAACTGTTTTTTAAAAAGCTTGCTGTGTTATGCCATTTACTTGCTAAAGATGTACATGGGCAAATGTGATGGGAACATTTATATTTGTGTGATACTCAATACCAAAGGTATTTATTGTTTAAGAGTTTATTGTTACACTACAAATGTGTATGTGTGTTATGAGAAAGCATACAATATTGAAATTTTACTTTATATGATAAATGTTTATCAAAATGGATTGTTGATAAAAGGAGACACCCAATCTGATATCAGAGCTAAATCGGATAACTATTGTTGAGGTACCATGTTCTAATAGAGTACTGGACTGAAAGTATTGGAAGTGGTGATAGAGATCTCTAGGTCCATTCCGTTACTGCAACATCTGACAGATGGCCATCAATCCTTCTTTTAAATACCTGCAGTGAAGGAAAGTTTCCTACCTCCTGAGGCAGTTTGATTTTGTTGAAATTAAGAAATTAAAATATGATACAGTAGATGTTTATTCAATGTCTTTCAGAAGAACTGAAGTCACCTAAGGGGAAAAATTATCTTGAGATCTGTTTGATCATCTATTCCTAATGCCTTCACTAACTGCATTAATACAAGTGTGTATAAAAACAGCTTAATTTCTTACTAAATGTGACAGAAGTCTTTTCAACATGCGTAAATTACAGTAGTCTTTCATCAAGGCCCTGCTTAATTTCAACAACATCGTTGCTTCATTCTCAAGCTATGCCCTGGGTCATGTGTTATATACTAAACCTTGTAATTCTTTGACTAGGGGTATCAATATTGTATGGATTCAGCGAATTAAAGAAACTATGACTAGATATAATGCATGTACTCGGCCTATCTCCTAGTAAAATAACACTAAATCACGTTTTGATGCTGCAATAAAAAGCTTTGTGTGCATGTTTTTTATATTTTCCCTTTGGTGCTTTATTCAGTATAATTTCCTTTTAAATCTAATGTCCCTGTTAATACAAAATTAGAAACTAATGAATACTAGGAAAGAATGAGTTTTCTAAAAGCCAGTGTGATGTAGTAGTCAGAGTACTTATTTAGAAGTAGATTAGAAACCAGATTCAGGTTCCATTCAGTTTATTGTTCACTAACAGATGTTAAATTCATGTCTGCCTTGACCTAACAAAATGTTAAAAAGTTTTATTTATGTAGTTACTTATCAAGCACATCTACAATCCCCAAGGCATGTCACAACTTTTGAGCACCCTTAATGTTTGGAAATTGAAAGTTGAAAAACTAGACATGTCTTAGAGGTTGCATGACTGTTATGAAAATAATACAGGTAGTCCTTGACTTACGACCACAATTGTGCCCAAAATCTCCATTTGTTAAGTTAGTTGTGCCCCACTTTATGACCTTTTTGGCCATAGTTGTTAAGTGAATCACTGCAGTTGTTAGGTGAATCATGTAGCTGTTAATTTACTTGGCTTCCCCCATTGACTTTGCTTGTCAGAAGTCAGCTGGGAAGGTTACAAGCAGTGGTGAAATCTGGCCGGATCTATCTGGCTCATGCGAACCGGTGGGGCCGGCGTCGGGAGGCGTCGGCCCCACCGGGACATCATTACGTCCTGTTTTTGACCCTCTGTGCATCACATTTCCGAACCAGTAGCGAAGGTAAGTGCATTTCAACGCTGGTTACAACTGGTGATCATACGACTACGAGACACTGCAATTGTCATAAATGCACACCAATTGTCAAGTGTCCAAAGTTTGGCAATGACCCTAAGTGTGAAAACAGGTCATGAGGGACTTTTCAGTGCAGTTGTAACTTTGAACGTTACAAAGAGAAAGAGAAATTTATAGGATAACTGGTGTAACTGGAGAAAAGGCTTCATATAAATATAATGAACATCTGGGTTTTGTTTTGTTTTACTTCCAAAGCATTGATTTTTCTGATATCAGCACAATCTCCAATTCAGTCTTATATGCTTGCAGTATCACAACCCAGTTACAACTGATTAGTTACACTAATGGCTATTTGGCAATGAATTCCATTGATTGAATAAGAAAGTGCAGATACTGAAAGAGGTGGATATCTCTGACAAGCCTACATTAGAGTATCTTTTGTCTTACGTTTCTTGAAAAGAAATGTTAGATTAGAGCCCCCCTCATTAAATAAATATGAAAAAAATACACAGATTTCTTCAATGCAGGTTAATTATGCCAATTGTTAAAATATCCTTCCTGCACTGTTTTACAGGTGGTCCTTAACTGATTATGGTTTATTCAATGACTCTTGACGTTACAATAATGCTGAAAAAAGTGACTTAGGATGTTCTTGCACTGATGACCGTTGCAGTATCTCTCTGGTCACATGATCAATTTTTGGGCGCATGGCAACTAGCATATATTTATGACTGCAGAATCCCAGGATCCTACGATTGCCATTTGTGACCTTCCTAGAGGTCTTCCCACAAGCAAAATCAATAGAAGCCAGATTTGTTTAATGATCATGACAAAAAAAATTGTGAAATTGCATACAACTTAATGACTGCATCGCTTGGCAACAGAAGTTCTGATCCCAATTGTTATAAACCAACAAATTTGGGGAAGTTAGGCTATATCTTGTCAAGTTAAATCTTAAACATTCCTGTTTCTGCAAAATAACTTTTTGTATAATTTAAAAGGTACTGTGCAATATTTGGGATTCTGTTCTCGAAGGAACCATTAGTTTACCTGATAATAAATAGCACTGGGTGTATGAGTCTGTTATACTTGCTTAATTTTAAGATTATCTCATCATTCTAGTATTGTTTTTCATCTTATATTTCAGGAAGAACGTTATGGTACAATTATTGAGAAGAAAATAGGCCTTTTTTTAATGCTTATAAAGCTCCCTCAGTAGTTTTATAGGATAAAGTTCTCTTTCAGAAGATGTGCATAGTGTTTCAATTTGCCTGAATCTGTTTGCTATGATTATGCAACAGAAAAAGGAGAATTGAAGAATAGTTGAGGGGTTCTTGTTGCTCTCTGAGCTTGGTTAGCCTAGCACTGATAACGTTACCTAGTTTTCTGCAAGAAAAAAACCCAACTCTGAGCTGCAAATATTCTCCTTTATTGGAAATGTAGTTGCTTCAATTCCTAACTCATACTTCAGTTTTGAAAGAAAGGAAACTATAGCATTGTCATTTGCTGAATTCTGTATTAGAGGGCTGCAAAATATTCCAAGATTGGAACAAAATAATGCTGAGGCATTTTGTTTCATGTTTAAATGATCTAGCATTCTGCTGTTGCCCTTTAAAGAAAAAAAAACCCTCCAACCTATGAATAGTAGAATAGCAGAATAGCCAATAAAACAACAGGTTGCTAGTGGTGGGAGTGAATTGAAAGAAAGAAAGATGGGATTGATAAAGAGTTAACCATAAACTGCTGCCTGCCTGGTATGTAAATTTATTTCTGATTTTAAATTATTTCATTTAGGGAAAATTCATAGGTTGTAATGCATGAATTCTACTTTCACGATTTGAAGCAATTTTTAGGCAAGTTGCCAAATGTGTAAAAATAAAAACCTATTGTGCTTGTGCATTAAGAAGAAGCTTTAGAAGTAATAGCCAGAAAGGTCTTTTTCACTCCTTGGGCTTTTTCACTCTGATTATGAGCTATTTGTATCTGTTGTTGCTGGGGTTAGCTGTTTGTGCAGGAGGGATGTTTAAAACATTTAATTCCTTTTAAGGAGTCATATTTAGACTAGTTTTTCTGCAAGCTAGGTGATAAATATCATTTAGCATGTACTACTCCAGCTACTTAGAACAGAAAGTGGGAGAATGAGGTTGTTCACATTGTTTTGAAGATGGAACACTGAAAATATTTTGAATTAAGTTTTGCTGGAAGAATCCTTTTGGAATGTACTGATTGAGGGTTTTGTTCCAAGTTTGGAACTAATCATTTCCCCCTCCTCATACTTGTTAACTGCAGTTTCATCTACTTTTGGTACAAAGAGGATGATGCTTCTGAAAAAATAGTTTTATATTATTATCTTTTTAATTCATCATTGTCTTAAGTAAACAGTTTTTGGCTTAAAGCCAGATATACTTAAAAGTTTGGAGTGATTCATATAGGAGAGTTTTTTATATATTGCTGTTTTTGCAAAGGCTTTTGAGGTATGTAAAAACTGATAATACCTGTTTTACATTTTTCTTAGTTCTTGTTTTATTAAATACAAAAGTATATATTTAAATTATTGAGTAACATTTAGTCTTCTGGAATATATGAGTAAGAGTCCCATATTTTAAATGCTTCCCTAATTGATCCATGAAATGCTCATAACAATATTCTAATTTAAGCTTATTTTTTTTAAAAATGAGTTAATTTTTTTAATGCAATCAACAGAAAGAATAAAATTGCTTAATATTTGACACAAGTTCATAATCAAATGTCATTTCCCTTCCATTTTTCCCTTAACTTTCAGATTAATTTTAGATATTTTCCTTGGGCATTGCTTGTTCATGAAAATTGAATAAAATAATATTAAATGAAAAGATTAATAGGATATTGTTTGGGGGTTTTGTATTTTTTTTTCAAATTGTACAGAATTTATCTCTTAACTTACACCCTTCTATTTCTGTTGCATTCTTTATTTTGTTTTTAGAGTAAAACTGGCTTAAGATTTGTATGCCAAGTTTAATATGCATATAAAAAGAAGAATGTGATTGCAGCTGGTATATTGAAGTTGTGATTTTTATAAAAGAAAAGGCTTTATGGACATTCCATGCTTTCAGGAAGGATTTGAAGACTATATAGCTGTTCTGAGGAGAGATTTTAAGAATTAAAAGGAAACTAGATAGTTGTAGAGAACAAGAGATGTTTGGTAAAGTTGCAGGTATAAACAGTTGGGTATAAGAAGAATATATTAGGTTGAAATACTAAGTTTACTGTAGCATAAATTTATTCATTATTACTGTCAAGCTGTCATTTTTATAAAATGATTTTAAAAAATAGTGCAGAGTAGTTGTTTTAACACTTGCTAATCCATTGATCAGAATTCAGGCTTTTCTGATTTTTTAGTTTACTTTAAACACTTGGGCACAACAGAATTAATTTGCTAACTTGGAATGTATAGTATATCTAATATAATTTAAATTGAGAAATAGTAATAAATATCTATTTTTAAAATGATCAGTGCTTTTGATTAATGCATATTAAAAAAGCCAATATTTAGAATTAAAAAAAAGGAAAAGAAGCACTTGTGGTCTCCTTGTCATTTTCCTAAAGCCATATGATTGACTATGGTGGGAACAGAACACTGAACTACATAAGCTATAAATATGAAGCTGCATAATTTTGACATTTGGGAAACAATTGCAAAACAATTGCAAATTAAACCATGACTACTTAATCCGGATATTTAAATCATTTTTCCTTGTCTATGCAGAGATAATAGTTAGATAGAAACTAGGCTCTTAAAATCACTTTTAAATTAATCTATTACCTTGGCCTTACAGGTTGCTGGAAATAATACTTATTTCTGTAGAAGAATATAGGATGACCCTTTTTATCAAGGAAGAAAGAATTAAACTACAACCGCTTTCAAGATTTATTGAAAGCTTTCTTATTCTGTGGCAAATTTATTGGCTTATTTGTAATGAATATGCTTAAAGGTACTTTCAATCAGAAGACATTTTTATTTAGTAATGCCTAACATAATGTTAATATATAAAGTCAGGCATACATAATGCATTTTCCTGAGGTAGAACATTAGTTTAGATCACTAAAGGGTTTTGTGGAAATCAATATTTAGCATGTATAGTATAGTATTTCAGTTTTGAGATTTCTTCTGAAAACGTCTTAAACATTCCCCCTGGGTTTTCAAATTCCTGGAAAGTTTACACTTGGATATTTTATTGGGCTGGGCTAGGGATCAGAAGAAGGGACAGAACTTGCATTTTTATATTAA